ACTCAACCATTTATCTCTCTGCCCTTCAGTTAACCCCACATGTGTTTATCGGCCAGGTTGGCACAATACACTAACTAGCTCACTATTTGAAACACCGATGTCAGCGCTTCCAGAATCATAGCAACATGTAAGTCGCCACAGTACAGCAAACTGGCAGACAGTCGACATGTTGGTATTCCCAGGAAATAACGTTTTAAAAATAAGTTCAAGAGTGACTGTACGCATGCACCTCGCTAGATGGAATACATGGGAATTAAATCAATGACACCTGTGGAAAGAGGTGTTGAAGAAACGAAGAGTTGTCAGCCAGAACAAGGTCAGAGGCCAACTGTAGAATAGACCATCAATGGTTCAGATGCAAGTTCAAGTTGAAGCTAAAGAAAATTAAAGCAAGTCCATGAGGGATATAAGATTACTTTATATAAGATTATATAAGATTTCTTTTATATAAGATTACTTCTTGATATAAAGAATTATATAAGATTACTTCTTTATATAAAATTACTTCTTAAAATAAAAAAAAGATTACTTCTTGATATAAAGCTTACCTAGCAACAACAAAGGCCATCATTTCCATGGCTTTAGTTCAATCCTAAGGGTTTTGGTAACTGCTTAATTTCATGTGTTCACCATTACAATATCCTACAGAATAACTTTATTGCCCCCAAACACCTAGTGCTCCTCCTCTTTAACCCTCCTCCCCCTAACTCTCGAGGAGCCACTGGCAACAGATAGCTATTTCTAATCCTCCATCGTCTGTATAATTTTTCCTCAGTGTCATAGACAGATAGCTATTTCTAATCCTCCATCGTCTGTATAATTTTTCCTCAGTGTCATAGAGTTGGAGTTGAAAACTTTTTTCTATTATGATCAAAACTACATACAATCAACCCTTGAACGGCACAGCTTAGAACGGAATGGGGCCCGCTTATAGGAAGAATTTTTTTTGCTTGTTGGTTTCTTTGCTTATTGCCATTTCAATGAGCTCAAGAGTTGTACGTTTCTCTCTTTCGTCTTGGTGCCGACATGCCCTCCAGACTGAGGAAGACCCGGAAACTTAGGGGCCACGTGGCAAACACTGGAAGCACCCAGGAGGCCGGGGGAATGCTGGCGGCTTGCATCATCACAGGATCCACTTCGACAAATCCATCCAGGTGACTTTGGAAAAGTCAGGATGCGACATTACCCCTTGAAGAGGAACCAGAACTTCTGCCCAACTGGGAACCTCGATAAACTGTGGACCTAGGTCAGTGAGCAGACCAGGGTCAATGCTGCCAAAAACAAGGCTGGAGCTGCACCCAGCATGGACGTGGTTCGGTCGGGCTAGGACACAGTTCTGGGGAAGGGTAAGCTTCCAAAGCAGCCCGTCATTGCGAAGGCCAAATTCTTCAGCAGAAGAGCAGAGAAGATTAAGGGGGTTGGGGGTGCTTGTGTCCTGGTGGCTTGAAGCTAAGCGGAGGTTTAATTAAAAGTTAAAAATGGCTTTTCAAAAAAAAAAAAAAGAGTTGTACGTTTCCTTTTAAAATGCAGTGTTGACACTAGTCACTGCTAGGGAGCAGTTCGCCTCTCCAGATACTCAAAACACTCGGTAAACTGCAGGAGCCACAGGGAGAAAGAGGCCCAAACATAAGTGGCTCCACGCAATTCAAACTCACGTTGTTCAAGGGTCAACCACAAATTATGCTTGAGTAAACGTCTGCTTTGGGAGGTTCAGCACCCCAATTCCAGCGCCAATTCTTCAAGGGTCAACTGCCAAATGAGAAAGTTGTCACTTCGGCTCGATTTAAGTGTACAGTTTCCAGACATTGATTGTGCTCATCGTGTTGAGCAACCATCCCTACTACCTTTTCCCAAACATTTCCGTCGTGGCTACCGGAAGCTCGGCAGCAGCTCCTCCCCACCCACCCCACCCCCATCCTTGGTAACCGGGAATAAACTTTGGCCTCTATGGAACAGCAAACATCTGATAAGGGGTCACATGGTAAATATTTTCAACAGCTCATGCCACGTGGTTTCTCTGGCCGTGGCTCAGCTCTGCTGCCGCTGCAGCAGGAAGCCACCATCTGCACGAGCAGGTAGTGGTCCCTAGGCTGTTCGCCAACCCCTGCCCTACCTACAACCTCCCGGAGCAAGATGCTGGGTGGCCTGAAAAATCAGGGGCCACAACAGATGAATGGGAAAACAAAGGTGAGTACAGCCCCACCAGGCAATACCACGCAGCCATAGAGAGAAAGGACTGCCTGATTCATGCCACAACACCAGGCAACCTTGGGCATCTCCCACTGAGCCAAACAAGTCCGTCACAAAAGGACAAAGACTTGGGTGCTCTCATTTATGTGAAATGAGCCAATATGCAGAAAGCAAAGAGAGTATGAGTGGTTTTGAGGGTGGAGGGGGTTTGTTACTGGTGGCACCATGATTGAGAAAAGGGTAAGGAGAATGGTCGCCCAACTTGAAGAGTATGGTCCATGGTACCGAATAGCACCGGTTGAGATGGCATAGACTTGGTTGTGTCTAGAATCCTTTCTCCCCCTCTTCTGGCCTGGTCACAGCTCACGGGGATCCAGGGACCACAGTTGGGCCAAGGATGCCTCCAGGCCCTGATTGGGGGCTGCTCGCTTGAGACCCGGGAGTGTCTGGAGCTCAGAGTGCCTCGGCCTGAGCTGGACTGCAGGAGGCGGAAGGGAAGTGTGAGGTAGGAGTGACTCACTGTGGAGTTCCCAGCTTCCCTGCTGCCGCCCAGCCCAGCCCAGCCCAGCCCAGGTGGTGCCTGTAGTGTGTTCATGATTGTGTGTGTGTGTGTGTGTGTGTGTGTGTCTTTGGGTTCCAAAGTGACCCCATAGCCTCACTCAGGTCTTTGGCTCACTCAGTAATCCCTCCTTGCTGCCCCCTTGGTTCCAGGGATGGTGCTGGGCACTTGTGGGTACCCCACATAGACCCTGCTTTGAGGCTGGTGGACACTTGAACCACACACAGAACCTCTCATCACTTGTCAAAGGGAAGAACTTCGAGTCGGGAGTCAGGCTGTAGAGCGAGAAGCAAGTAGCAATCCGGGAGGTTCCTTGGGGAGGGGGGGGGGAGCCCTGCCCAAGAAGACCACAAATCCTAGAGAGCCCCTAAGAGAAACGTTCTCCACCTGCCACCTGTCCCTAGATGGAACTCCACCTAGCTTCTGCTCTAAACCCAGTCTCTAACCAGACTCCAGAGTTCCTGGGGAATGCAAGCGTCTAAGTGCTCAACCACTAATCAGAAGGTGGGTGGTTTGAACCTACCCGGAAGCATCACAGACGAAAGGCCTGGCAATCCACTGCCATAAAGACTGT